TCAAGTCTTTAAATATTGAAGTTGACTATATATACAATCTAAACGAAACATATAGAGACACATTAGCAAGTAAGTATCTTTAAGTAAGTTTACAAACAACATGCCTACATTTGAAAATAATACTAATTTATAGTAATAATAAATATTACAATATACTTTAACATGTTGTAATATATACTTATATCAAATCAAAAGCTCAATTATAATATTGGATAAATAAAGCATATATATGATACTCTAATTTATAAATTGAAATTAATAGCAATAAATTATAGTGTAATTTATAAGAAATTTTAAGTTAGTTTTAAGTAAATCTTCCTACATATTTTCTTATTTAAACATGTAGGAAGCCTTAATATTTAAAATTTTAGAATTAATTAATATAATAATAATACCTTATATGTTACTCTTTAGAATATTGATAGAATTTTATCCAATATAAATTTATTTTTAAAGAGTAAAAAGGTCGATTAAAATTGTGTGAAATTAATTTTGAATGAAAATTCAATACAAAATATTGATCGATTTTTTTATCCTCTAAAAATATATTTTACCTTAGACAAAATTATCATTTAATTACTTTGATATCAACTAAATTTTTGCTTATTAAATCTTTTTTTATTTTAACTATGTAGGAAACACTAATATTTACTCTTTTTAACCTAACTTATTGGCAGTAATTAACTGAGCACGAAGTTTAAAAAAGATGAATTTATTTAAAATTTATGCTCTAAACAAGCCACAAATGTTTATGCAGCCATAAATCATCTTTTTAAGAGTAAATTAGAAAGTCTAACATTAAATTATTTTTAAATAAGGAAGTATGACATATAAATTCATGAGACAGAGAGAGTAGGATTTTAAAATCTAAGATTTTAGCTTATATAAATCATTCATTTAATGAATTAGGTAACATAACTATAATTCTTTCCAAAAATGTAGTAAGCCAAATTAAATAATTTTTTTTATCGAAAAATCATTAGAAAATATGAGTTCAACATTCTCTTAATTGTCTTCAGACAAAATTAAAAAGTACAATAATTTTTTATAGCAATTAAGCAACTAAGATAATCAATAAATTTGAGTTTCTCATTTCATGACAAAGCAAATACTTGTGCTAGATAGACACACGAGATTTTTATCCATTTAACCGAAGGATCAACATTCTTTCACTTTTAGAAACTTACACTTTTTTCTTTCATTTTTATTTTATAACTCAAGTATATATTTTATAATAGTTATATAACTTTTTACATACATGAATATGGGTACACGCGCAACGCGCGTACCCTAAGACTAGTAAGAAATAAATTTAACGTAGACCTAAAAGATAATTTTGTGGTTGCACTGACACAATGGTATTGTGTCGCTATAATTAATTGTTAATAACATATAATTATTGTGTCTCTATAAGCAGAGCGGGGCGGAAGCAGAGGCGGACCCAGGATTGCAACATATGACGGGGACACCACTATTTTGCTTAACCAGTACCCCTTAAAGACATTTAGTGTTCAGGGTGCCATGTTATATTTTATATACTCATATTTAAGGTATACCCACATACAAAATACAATAAGATTTTTGCTGAAGCTTACGGGGACCGATGACTCGTCGATTTTATACATAGGTCCGCCTCTGAACGGAAGAGGTTCATCTGAATCTCCTTTATCGGAAGATTAGACTATGTACTTACTTTTTTTAAAAAAATTTTTGAATTCCCGTGTTAAAACTTTTCCCTCCACTACTAAATGTGGCAATAATTTATAATTATACATAACTCCAATTTGCATGGAAGAAGAGACAGCCAGTGGACAACCGTTGAAGAGCAGATCTCAAAAAGACTTTAGAGAATACCCAGGTAATTGGTAAAAGAGTCAATTTTATACAATTCTCTGTTATCTTAGCCATTAAGCAATTCTTAATCAAGTTGTAATTGAAAAAGTGCATATCGAAATGCTCTTGAGTGGCTAAATCAGCAAGATCAATGTTAAATTGTTGATGTAGGACAGAGGAAAAAATGGCAAAGTTTGCGGCTGGCAATGCGAAATTTCTCTATATGGAAAAACTACGCGACACAGCAAACATATATATACTATTTACTATTCGTAGTTATATTTTCAGAAAAGTATCATTCATTATTATATTTAAATTTTATAGCAAATCCATCAAATAAGACATCAATTATTTTGAGTTGAAAAAAACAACAATAAGCTCTCGTAGCTTAGTTGGTTTGAGTACTGGCCTAGTAACGTAGCTCTAAACTGTAATGCTTTATCAAAGTTCCTCCTTTTATATTCATTTTGTCTCGTTATCCACATCAAAAATAAAGTTAACGTAGTAATAATCTAGCCCTTGGTTATACGTGGCTCCGCCACTTAGACCTACAAAAAAAGTAATTTTTCTTGTTGTTAAGAGCATCTCTCAAAAAAGGATTTTTACAATATTCAGGTGATTGGTAAAAGAGTAGTTTGTAGCCTTTTGGCCAAGCTTTTTTTTGAGCCAAAAATGCTTTTTTTTTTTAGCCAAAAGTACTTTGGTCAAAAATTGAGATGTTTGGCCAAGCCTTTGGAAGGAAAAAAAGTGCTTATAAGGAGAAGCAGAAGCAGTTTTGGAGAAGCAGAAAAAAGTAGATTCTCTCCAAAAGCACTTTTCTCAGAAGCACTTTTGAGAAAAATACACTTAGAAGCAGTTTTCAAAAGCTTGGCCAAACACTAATTACTGCTCAAAAGTGCTTTTCAAATTAATTAGCCAAACACAAGCTACTTCTCACCACAAGCACTTTTTTAAAAAGTACTTTTACGAGAAGCACTTCTCAAAATAAGCTGATTTTAGAAGCTTGGCCAAATGGGCTATTAGACAATTCACAACGATCTTTTTTTATTTTTATTTTATCAGTTTAAGCAGTTCTTAAGTTGGAATTGAAAAGAGTCACGTGCTTATAGTTATAAGTGGCCAATAGCCTCTTTGGCTAAGTTTTTTTTTGGCCAAAAGTATTTTTTAGTTTAGGTGTTTGGTTTAGCTTTTAGAAGAAAAAAAAGTATTTTTGATTAGAAGTAAAAGCAGGTTTTTGGAAGTAGAAAAAAATAGATTTTTCCCAAAAATATTTTTTCGAAAAGTACTTTTGAGAAAATACACTTAAAATACTTTTTAAAAGTTTGGTCAAATACTAACTACTGTTCAAAAGTATTTTTTAAATTAGTTAGCAAACACAAACTACTTCTCAGCAAAAATACTTTTTTTGTAAAGTAATTTTTAAGATTAACTAATTTTAAAGCTTGGCCAAACAAGCTACAAATCAGCAAAATCGATATTAGTATAGGACGGTGAAAATGGCAAAGTCTGCAGCCGGCTATGGCGGAAAATATGGTTTCAGAAAATAAGTCATGTGTCTATATTTGTTTGCTTGAAAATAACCTGATATTTTCCTCCAACAGTGGAAAATACATATTTCCCTAACCTAGTGGTAGCAAAATGGTTAAAATAACAATTATTTACTTATATTATTCATTAAAGATGGGTTAGATAATGAACTTTTTAAAAACATGTCAAATATGGATAAGATTCATATATTTTTTTGGTAAAGAAAAAAAATAAGATTCATATAATCCATTTAGAAAATAGTTAACTAATGGATTTAACTTTTACATTTGTAAAGCCTCAAATTGAGTAGAAATGACACAGGTAGCCACTCTAAAGGGCTGTTATTTAAGAATTAGCCAGTGTGTCCTGAATTTTAGTTTTTCAGTTCAAAATTTTGGGACAAAATATCTTGAATTGCCCTGATATTAAGATTTTTAGATTAAAATTCCAGACCAAAAATAAATACTAGTTAATCTCTAAATAGCATCCCTAAGAATTGCTATCTGTGTACTTGCCTCAAATTGGGGGTTCCTCAAATTTAGGAGACTAGGAATTCTCCAAAAAATGATCATATTAAAAAAGCCTATTCATATTATCTGCCGGTTAACCCCTTTTATGCCGGTAAGCCTGGATCGTATCCGTATATTGTATTACCCATTTTATCCTATTTTCTCTTCATCAAGTAAGCACCGGAAAAATAATTTTCAAAAGAATACTTTTTATAAAAAAAAAAATGGTTCTTTTCTGAAGAAAAATGATTTCTATCATACCAAATACACCCAAGCCAATGTTTTGGAGAATATGCCGCTGAGCGTGAAGGGATTGCCAAAAGGAAGCACCTTTGCTCAACCGACGATATTGAATGAATGAAAAAACTGTAGTTATTAATTAATTAATTACTTGAGTTTTGGTTCATTTCTGATTTGGACGATTAATAGTGTTTTACACCAAGTGAAATAATTGAGAATGATTTCGTCCAATATCTCTCTATTGCATGTTTCTTTCGTTTAGCTTACACGTTGAAGGGATTTATATATTCCATGTATTGTAATCTCCAGAACAGGTATCTTGAAAGGAAAGGAGGATTGTTCTACAACATACTTGACTTTGTTGGAAATTAAATCAAAATTAATTAAGAATCATAACTGTTTAGGATCTGGTACTTGCTAGTTTATTTAATTAGATTTTGTTGTCAAGGTTATGTAGGAATGTGTTTCTAATATTTCTAGTTAAATTTGATTTTATAGTAGTATAATCGGGTTTAACTACATATTTTCTAAGGTTGAGAGGTAGCTATGATGTAGAGGGATTCAAAAATTTACGAGTAAATAAAAAAGCCTCATACTATTTTTTTTTTCTCTTATTTGATAAATTTCTTTTATATTGCCTTTGTTAAATCTTTGAGACTTGGGTTTGGCTACAAAAGTAGGTATTGAAATTTGATTCAAAGAGAACTTCTTGAACAGATAACAAAAAGAAAATCTCTAAGCATGGGTTTCACTTTTATATTGCCGAAACCCCAAAACCCTAACATGCATGGTTCATGGAAGTTCCATGCATCAATGCATAAATAAACAAAAACAAATAACCCAAAACCAACTAGTTCTCCCACTTAAACTCATCCTCTCCCCTATAAAAACCCTAAGGTGCTAGAGGGTTTTGCACCCAACACTCAGTATATTATTATCTCCTACAATTCTCTCTATTATTTCATCACTTTCTCTCCAAACAACAAAAATGGCCGGAAAGATTGCCTGCTTTGTGGTTTTGTGCATAGTGGCAGCTGCGCGCAGCGCAGAAGCCCTAACTTGCACAGACGTTGATGCGCACCTCAAAAATTGCGTACCTTTCCTTACGAATACTGGGCTTCTAGGAACCTGTTGCGATGGCGTCAAGGAATTAAATGCCGTTGCAAGCACTACAGTTGATCGCCAAACTGCATGTACTTGCCTGGAAGCTGCTGCTAAAAGTATGTTGCTACTTGATTTGACCAAAGCTGCTAATCTCCCAAACACATGTGGAGTCGAACTTCCATTCAAGATCAGCCTCGACATGGCCTGCTCCACGTAATTATATTATCTGACTTCTTGTTAAATAGACACATTAATATTGCTTCTATGCTACTATTATGTTTTCTTGTTCACTTTTAATTTGTTTCAGCACTGGTAATTAGAGAAGTATTGAAAATATGAGTTAGTTTAGTGCTAACAATCACGTGGGGCATAGTTATGAGATAGGACTAATAGTAGCATGTTTGGCCGTGCTTCTAAAATCAGTTTATTTTGAAATTCCAAAGAAAATATTATTGGTAGGAAGCAGTTTGTGTTTGGCTAATTAATTTGAAAAATTTTTTGAGTGGCAATTAGTGTTTGGTTAAACTTATAGAAAGTATTTTAAAAAGTTTTTTTCTAAGAAGTGCTTTTAAGAAAAAACTCTTCTCAAAAATTGCTTCTGCCTCTAATCAAAAATACTTTTGTTCCTTCTAAATACTTGGCCGAACACCTAAACTTTGAAGAAAAAAAATACTTTTGGCCAAAAAGAAGCACGGCCAAACAAGCTATAAATCTCTCCATTGAACAGTGAAATGAGATGAAAAATGAGATTGGTGATTAATCTTCTTACTAGTTCCTTCATGTTTATACTAATGTTCATTGAAGATCTTACATAAATATATGCACTTAGTTAAACAGCATCAATTTTATTGTTAATAATGCCAAAGATGCGGTTTGCTTATTGTCTTACATGTGAACGAAGGGTTTCTTCATCTTGGGTTTTAATAGCCTGTTTGGCCAAAGTTTTTTGGGCCAAAAGTGCTTTTTTTGGTAAATTGTTTTTCAAACGTTAAGGTGTTTGTATAGATATTGCAGTTTGTATATTGATTTGCACTTGTTCGATTTTGTGATGCAGGGTCGTGTAAAAGGATGAAGAAAGATCTAAGTTTACAACCGCACAATTTGGTAGTATGCAATAATGAGGAGAAGCAGAATAAGAGATGGGATTTTCTTCTTTGATCTTATTTACTTATGGATCCATTTGTATTTGGTCCCTGTTGTTTTCTTTTTTCCTCTTTGTGTGTGTTCCTTTGTATTTGGTCCCTGTTGTTTTCTTTTTTCCTCTTTGTGTGTGTTCCTTTTTGAGTCCTAGACGATTCTAGTCCAGTATTGTGTAATAAATAAGCGGTTGTATTTCTATTCCATCTTAGATTGAACATCTATCATGTTTAATTAGCACAATGTGTCCCATTTTTTAATTCTTCTTTCTTATTTTTTCTCACATGTTTTTTTGCCCCTCATAATTCTTATTTTTATCTAATTAATGGACACAAAATAGATAAATGAAACTTAAGGCAATAATTCACCTTAATTTGAAAATATAGAAAGAATTAATTAATGCACTCATTCTATAAACAAATGTAATTGAAAATTAGTATTGATTATGTAAATGAAAATACTTCATGAACAAGTTATTATATATATATA